AACAAGGCTCCAATGTGGCACAAACGGAACTAACCCAGATGGCCACACCTTATTTTCGAAGCAAAATGTTTTCTTTCATTTAACGCATTCGTTTAAATATCCTAATAATCTGCATCTCTTCGAATTGAGAACGAATGAGATAAACGAAGCCGAAGACGAAATTTCATTTAAATGCAGCCCCGTGATAAAACAGAAATTCAATAATTTTTGCAGGTTTTAAATTTAACAGCATTCATTTTACAACACCATTTTCTTCGCAGCAATATGCGATTGTCCGGAATAACTCACGCAGTGGTGTTTCCAGGTAATATGTCTTAGTCTTTCTTGGTAAGTATCATTAACGACACTCGGAGACAGAGCTGCCCTTAATAGGACCTGTGGGAGGTGTTACGAAAAGACAAGAATGGCAAAAATAATTTATGAATAGCAAACTAAAACAATAATTTACGCTCCGTTACATTACGAGGTCCTATCACAATTCCGTGAAAGCAGTTCCTTGTAGACAGCCGCGGCGGAAGCAGGCGAAAGCATCCACGCATTCACTTTTTTATATCATTGTTCAGCGGCATAGCAGGTAATAAAGTTCGGAAATACATATAATTCATTCTGGCAGAGAGACAGTATAGGCTAAAGAATGATAAGGGAAGGCAAGTGGAAAATACACTGTGTTTTTTGGGGGGAGGGTTATTATTTATCTTTCTTTGTGCCATCTATATAAACCTTGAACAACTACCAACGCACACTTAGCAAATTGCAGTTGAAAAAAGACATTATGATACCATTTTCTTAGTCTAATAAAACCGCAGACTTAAGCAAAATGCTTTAAAAAGTGATTTTTCTCTCTCTTTTCTTCATGCCTTCGTGGTGTAACGGTTAGCACACTCGACGCGTAATCGAGAAGTCCTGGTTCGAGTCCCGGCGGAAGGAATTGCACATTTTTCAATCTCCTGCTTCAAAAAAGCCATATGACTCTATAGAGGCGCCCGAATGAAAAGGTGGGGGACGATGATTCTTCACCAGCAGAATTTGGCGATTGGTTCCCTTAATCCCCAGTCGCCCTTTAAAGGGGGAGTATATTTTCTGCCCTCTTTCTGCATGCCTTCGTGGTGTAACGGTTAAGCACACTCGACGCGTATTTGAGAGGTCCAGATTCATGACTCGGCGAGGGCATAATCTCATTTTTCATGTCTTCTGCTTCAAAATAACCTAACGACTTTATAATCATACTATCCTACTCTACTATCCTTAGAAGCAGAAGACACCGAAACGATTTGTATCAGGTACGTATAGAAGCATCTTTCACTAGTTAAAATAATGCTGCAAATGCTGGTGAAAATAATTAGTTGGACATAATTGTAAATTAAATGTATTAAATATAAAGGGTGTTACAATAAGAATGATAAGATTTAAAATTTAAATTAAAAAAACTACTTAGAACCGTACCGTCATGTTACAATTAAGTATAATTTATGGCATTATGTTCTGAATAAAACATCATTTAAGTGTCCACCTCGACTGCACACGGGGTGCCCAATTTGCTATAACTGTTTACGGTAACTCGGATCAAATATCACGAATGTATCGTTAGATGTTTATTCTTAATGCTTTAAGTATTCATGACTTGTTTTCATGGACCATTGACTTCAAATAATTTAGCTAAGAAAGTAATTTAAAAGAGTTTAATAAGAACTTTAGGGAGGCCAACTATCAGCTGTATTTGGTGAAATTATCCTCTCGCCAAAATTCTTTTGTAATACGTGGGGTTATCAGTGTGACAAGTGACACCATCTTCTTGGAACTACATGTACCGTACTCCAAATTATTTTTTCCTTACGATCAACCGTTTTCTTTCATCAATCACTGTAACTGCGTCTCCTCTCCCGTTTTGTGAAAAATGGTTCGATGATGGAAATAAACAACAAACCTCACCAAACCTCTACACTGAAATCTGACGAATGCAAGGGCTTGTAGTGTATTTCTTATGTCCTTTTTCCACACCAGGAACAACAATTTTAGCGGAAATGAACTTTATTTGAGAAGATAATTTTGCCTAGAATGAACGTTCTTGAAGCGTGAGTTTAGCCATGATGAATTTTCAGAGCATAGTAAACACAAATTAAAATTAGTGACGGTAACATTAAATGTGTTTATGATTTCGTTTTGAAATCATATCATTCTTATTGGAATACCCTTTATATATAAACTGAATCATTTACACTTTTATTAAAAAATAAAATAAAGTTTTAAATTGTTAAGAAATGCTCCCATTGTTTTAAATTAGATCAGTAGTCGAGTCATTAGGGTTTTTGACGCTGGAGACATGAAAATGTGCAGTGCCTTCGACGAGATTCGAGCTCCCAACTTCCAGAACAGGCGTCGAGTGTGCTTCGAGCTACACCACGAAGGCATACGGAAAGGAGGGAGAAAATACGTTATATACTTTCCCTTTGTAACAGAGTGACTGGAAATGAGGGGTCTCAATTGCCAAATCCTGGTTACAGCCGAAAACATCGCGGACGAAAACGTCGCGGAGAAAACAACGCAAGGCGAAAACGTCGTGCTACAAAACATCGTGGGAGAAAACATCGCAGTCCTAAAACATCGTTGTACATCATCGTCTTCGAAAATAAAACGGTTCAAAATCTTCGTAGTTTAAAAACATCGTCGTCGAAAATATCGTAGTAAAAAATAAAGTATCTACAAATCATCGCATGACGGTCGCGCTTTTTTCAGACATGCTTTTCGCAGACATGCTTTTCGCAGACATGCTTTAATAACTGTTAATGGATATTCCCATAATGATTTGTGAGCGCAAGATGGGAAGAATAAAATAAAGTTTTAAATTTTTTACTACGATTTTTACTTTCATATTTTTTAATAATAAGAATAAATTTTTGCTTAGAAAATAAGAAGGAAACTTAAGCATAGAAAATTAATGCAGTTAACTAACAAAAGTCATTAATAAATCATTTTTATAAAGTTTTTACTGCTAATTTCTCATGAAAATTATAATCTATAAGTTGCATTTAATTTTCTATGCTTAAGTTTCTTTCTTACGTTTTTAGCGAACATTTATTAGTTATTAAAAAGTATGAAAATAAAAATTATCCTTCTTTCCATCTCGCGCTCGTAAATCATTATGGGAAATATCCATTTACAATTATTAAAGCCTGAGAAAAGCATGTCTGCGATGTTATGGTCATGCGATGATTTGTAGATACTTTATTTTTTACCACAATATTTTCGACGACGATGATTTAAACTACGAAGTTTTTGAACCGCTTTATTTTCGACGACGATGTTTTGTACCACGATGTTTTCTCTTTGCGATGTTTTCTCCCACATTGTTTTGTAGCACGACGTTTTCGCCTTGCATTGTTTTTCTCCGCGACGTTTTCGTCCGCGATGTTTTTGCCGCGATGTAATCGGCGGACACCCAAATCCTGGTGGTGAGGAATTATCATCCATCCCCTTTTCGGGCGCCACTGTAGAGTCATACGTGAAAAATATGTAGTGGCCTCGTTGGGATTCCAACTCCGGATCTCCCGAATACGCGTCGAGTGTGCTTCTAGTTACATTATGACTGCACGTGGAAAGGAAGGAGAAAATACCTTATATGGTTTTCAAGCAGTTATATACTGCTAGAATGGAAAGATAAATTAAAAGTGTCTCGTTTTTGCTGAAAGACAGCACTGTGGAAAATAGATATGCATTAATTAATTTAATTATATTAATAAAAGTTCTTATGTTCCACACAGTGGCATTATTTGGCAAGACGAGTAGATTATATATAGATGATGGTACATCATAACGTAATGTAGTGATTTAAAAGTCCTTGACGCACTTCGTTAAAAGTGTTTCTGACATTAATAATTAAAAATATTTATATAAAAAAAGTTGCTTTATAATCCAGAAATGCAGCTACTTCTAGAACATAATCCGTCAAAGCCTATAATTTAGAGAGATGCTTTCATGAAGTGAGATAAAAACATAAATTTCTTGAATGTTTGTTTGTAAGAAACGTTATTTATAATGCAGATTACAGGACATTAAGAATAACATCATTTCAAGCAGAGAACCAGAAAAAATTAAAGTTCAGCATTACATTTTATTCTCTTCCCAGAATATAAATAATGAAGACTTTGCATGAACGCATGTATGTTTTTCGCACTGTGAAAAACGACGGTATCTAGAGCCATCTAATTCTGAATTAAGTACTCCTCCACTAGAACATGAGTTCCTGGAAGCCTGAATTTTGAATTTAGAATTTGTTTTATTATTTGTTAAAAATTTTGTAAAACTTAAACTAATTTTTAATTAACAAACTCAACGATTCCAAATCGAACAATGGCCACACTGTACGGAAAAAAGCATTTTTATCTCCAACGCGCGGGACTGTGTAACGTAAATTCCAACGATTTCGAATAATTTCGAATTTGTTTCATTGTCTGTTTTATATTTTGTAAAACTTTAGCCGAATTTTTGATTAACAAACGCAACGATTTCAAAGCGAACAGTGGCAACACTCTAACGAAAAACACATTTTTATCTCCAGCGGAGACTGTCCATCGGAAATTCTACAGATATCCTGCTGTTAAACCAATTTGTGATATTGCTGTTGAATTTAATTCTTGTGGTGTAAGTGCAAAGATAAATAAATACATTTAATAAATAAATGTAACACACAAAATGTTAAAAAAACACCTCTTTCGGCGTAATATAAAATATGAAAGATTTCAGTTTTTTTTAAATTATTTTCAGTTCATACTTCTCAAATTTCCCCAGGAAAAACATAAAAACGTTAACAACATTATTTCCTCTGAGCATCGAAATTTGCTGTTGGGGACATAAATCACCAAAACTAATGCCAGAACTATTACAGCATTTTGTTTTACACTATTTGTTACCTAGATAAATTTTTATGCCGAATTACAGAAACGCAGAATTATCTACGTTTATTTTTATAACATATCATTGTTCCGCAGTGTTCAGTTACCTACCTAATTATTACATTTCTCCTTCGGCGGGATTTCTGCTTTGTTGTACTGCACAAAGCGGCTGCACGGATGAATGGTGTCCACGTATTCGAGGAAACAGCACTCATTTTTATATCTAAATAAAAGGAATGAATATAATAATAGAGAAATTAGGCAGTTAAATTTACGCATTTTCTCTGACTAATAACCAAAGCATTTTCTCATGAGATCACTTCTGTAATTTGTAGAGGTTATTTTAGGTTTCTAACAGTTGTTTTAATTTTAAACAGTTTTGTTTGTCAAATCCTGGTGTTTACTGTTTAGGTTTACTGTCTATTTTGGTGTTTACTGTTTAGGTTTACTGTCTATTTTGGTGTTTACTGCTTACGTTTACTGTCTATTTTCGTTTCTCACCTAGTATTCCCTACAAGAAAAAGTTTTCGTATCGCGTTACATGTAATGAAGTAGAAAGACTATTTAAAGAAAGGTTTCGCTTACTTCAGAAGAGCTTAGGGGTATTTCGTGGCGCGTGTTTACCTTGAGACTGCTTCGTTGTTTAAAGCTAACTATGCTCAGCTATATTACAAGTGCCTACTGATATTCGTCGGTTAATTTAAGTCAAGTCCAACTACGTTGGATAATTGTGTACAGTTTCGGCTAAGTTCAGTTTAGTTTAGCATTAGATTAATTTATTATTTTCTTATCTTGATTCAAAGCCCAAGTGGAGGCTTTTCTGTAAGCCCGAGAAAGGGGCCATCTGTGTTTATAGTTGAGATAATAAAGGGTGAGTGTAACCCTTCTCTGGATTTTTCCATTTACACACTTTGACTCAGCGATAAGTCGCTATGTAGTTCAACTAACTTTCTAAGAAGTCAAGCATAGAGAAAGTAGTTAGAAATGTTACAAATTAATTATCTAGAAATAAAAGTTTAAAATCAAGTCTGAGAAAGATTTTTATTTCTTTTCTCATTTTCATCAAAATAAGCGAACATTATATTTAAAACCGCTTTTTCACTGGATTCAAAAGTGTATTGGAATAAACTGAAACCTTTTAAAGTGGTACCTACGCATTGTATATAACCAATAAAATAAAATCTTCCATTCTAAAGCTTTCAGTTGACGTATTATATGAAATATCTTCCGAAAACCTTCAAATGAAAAGCACTTTAGAAGTCAAAGGAAATAAAAATCCTAAATAAATATCTCCTTCGTCCCAGGTAGATTGGTGTTAAAAGAATGAAGGTATTTGAATGTAACGATAAATATTTTCCAAAACTAACTGAAAATTCGTTTCTATAGGAAGACTTCAGAATGTCAAAATTAACATTAGCTGTTTCAGTATTCTAAATACGCGAAATGCATTTATTAGTAAACTAGAATTTTTGAAATATTTTTTAATGATTCTGAGGGCATGTTATGCAAAGGAAAGTAATTCTATGTTGATTTATTGTATATTATTAAAGGATTACATTACAATTTTATAATAATTGATAAGTAGTTATGAAATATAGAAGCTTTTAATTAAAAACATGATCAAATAATATAAATTTGCTTTTCTGCTTAAATGCATAACTAGCCTATGTATATTGTTTATAACCGATAGCATGATTCAAAAATCCGATTTAATTACAATCGCAAAAATGTGATGTGTGTACACCACATGACTTCCTGGCATGGCTTGTTAAATTATACACGTGTTTTTCTGCATTTCATTTAAACTTATTTCCTCGAATTTCATTAGTGGTATATTTCTTATTTAATCAATTCAGTTCTCATTTTGCGGGAAGACAAAAATGCATAAAAACTCAAAACATTTTCATTAAAAATTGTAAAATACAGAAAAAATAAACATAAAAACAGTTAAAACAGTTAAAAACAAAAAAAAGACACACGATTTAAAATTAGACATTCTTGCAAAAAACAAGCAAAAAAAACAACCAAATCAACCAAGCAGAGAAAGGAAGACAAGACAGATTTTTCGGTGCACAAAACTGAAAGTAAGTATTTTACATGCATTAAAATTATAGATTAATTTAAATTAGATCACCGAATAATTAAGATTGAATTCGAACACAAATTTAAAAAGAAGTACAGTCAAGGTTTATATTAACAACTTCGCCCTAAATTTTAAGAATTATCTAACATAGCTAAAAAGGAACAACTACGAATGTTTTAATAAGTAATTACATTTCGTTTTTTATGTAATAAAATCTCTCACTCTCTCTCTCTATATATATATATAATTACAAAACAATTTTTTTAAAAAACAAAATATAAACATGCCTGGTATTTTAGCGCATTAAGCTCCTGAAAAATCATCAGTAAAGATATAAAGTAAGAAATTTAGAACTAATTTTTCACAAAGACCAAAAATTGAAATTCATAATTAATAAATTTTAAATAATCCTATAAATACAATAAAGAATTTTAAAATGTTAAAACTAAAAACCTTTCAAACAAGCAATACCCTTATTAAAAAAATTAATGAAATTTAAGGAAAAACGAACACAACAGAAGAGGAATTCAATCAATCTCAGTACCACTTCGTCAGGAGGAGGAACACTGAAATCAATTGAAATTTTTCTTCCACAAAAAAATCCTTGTTTTTCTGTATCCAAAATTAGCCGATGAACCATTTCAATGCATTTTAATTATAATAGTTCACCCGAAAATTCTGGCCCTTTCCCAAAGCAAGGGAAAAACAAAGTCAATTCTAATAAGAATCTTGTACCTTAAATAAATAGAAATCTATTTAAAGAATTGAACAGAGAGAAAGATTCTATTACTATCTGCTGTGCCCTAATTTAACCTTTTAATGTTCTCTCTATACTTTCTCTCATTCTTCATTCCCACCAAAATATTGTCAGTAAGAGAGGAATTACGCAACACTAGAGAAACAAGTGAATTGAACAGAAAAACTCTAGCAAAATTTACTTTGGCCTTAAAAGCTTTGAGAGACTTTAGTATGCTTTAGCAGCCAACAATACCTCTTTGAGACTTGTAATTGATCATTGTTAACCATCATAGGAAATATCCTATGATAAACGTCCATTTAAAATCAGTTTAGTTTCATTTCGTATGCAAAAAAACACTAGCGTATTATTTTTTTTTCTAGGTTTAAATGGTGTTTATTTGGTGGCATGGCTATGATAAACTTGCTAAATAAATGAAAAACAAATAATGAATATTACATCTTATCAAATTTCAAAGTGGTGTGCATAGCTTGCATCAATTTCTTTTGCGATACACTATGACTAAAAAGAGTGTAAGAAATCACATTTACTACCTTAGAAATTCACAATAGGAATAACAGGCACTTGTTTAGATACCTTTGTGATAAACATCCAGCATTTTGAGGTCTAGCAAGATGTGTGAAATTGTCATTCTGTTTTGAGTGATTATCCCCGTTTTATCACAGCAGATTACACTTGTGAAGCCCAAGGACTCTACGACGTCCAAGTTCTTGACCAGGCAATTCTTCGATGCCATACGGAAAGCTGTTTCGGTGAGACACATCTGCAATCAAAGTTTGAATTTACAGATAAAGCATAATTCTTAATATTTATGCTTCTTTAATTTTTTTTTTCATTTGGAAACATGTTAACAGCCTTTTTTCAGCTGATGATATTGTAATAATATATCAGTTCTAAAAAAGGCAAAACGTTATGAAATTTATTTAGGTTACAAAACTTCAATGAAACTGTTAGTCGTGCTGCATTTAATGTAATGTAAGTTATCTTTAACAGTACTCAATTTGCTTAGCACGTTTTTATCTGCCTACATAAATTTATAGGCTTTACAAACCCTATCCGTCAACTGAAAATTTTACGCTATAAGCAATAGTTACCAGTATCATGTTGCCCGATTGAAATTTATAAACCTAAAAATAAAAAATTCGGGAGCATCGAATCATTTCGTTTCAGTTATGAAAATTTAGAAAGATCATTTTTTTTACATATTACGTGCTCCGCCCTTAGGCCTTACACGGAAAGGGAAGGATACCCCGTGGAGGCCTTTTTAAAGGAAACTGGCTTGTATCCATGTTACGCATTGGGAAAAACGACGAAAACGCCCATGCAATCAGCCCGTTTGCCGGAACTCGAACCCTGGACGGAACTACCAGTGTTTGGTGGCTTTTAACGCTCGACCGCTGGTGGGTAAAGACCGCTATTGGACCTCATAACATTCTAAAAGCAAACTGATATTGCAAAATTGCTAATAGTAGATGGTTTGACTTCTCTATCAAGAGAGATAGGTAGGCAACAATCAAAGCAAATCGCATGATTCTTAAATCAAAACAGAACTAACTACAAAGTATGCCCATTAGTGTAATGCTTTTGCTCTTCCGCTTCGCTTTAATTCGAGAACTTTAGGCTAACCATCCTGTCATACGCTACTGCACAGTTTTTCAAAACTGTTTCATTTGCCAACCTTTCTGATCAGATGAAATATATTTTGCGAACCTTCCTTTCAGAAAAAAAAAAAAAAATTTGTCAAAATTTCAGTGTATTTTTAGTGCGATTTCTGAGGTTATTATTTTTTTAATATAAAAAAATATCATTTAGAAGTATGTTACATTGAAAAAGCATAATTTATAAAACTGGTGAAAGATCTTGAAACATCTTTAAAATGCACGTAGAATTACTTAGATTGCCCCGAACGTGTTGTGGTATGTCCGCTCATAAAAACTAAAATTTTGAAATGATTTGAAGATCTCTCATAATTCTTATACTAATTAAAAATATATTATATGGATAACAGTTTGCACCCTTATGACACACTTTCTAACCTTTATTACAGCTCTCCGTTTAAAGCCTTTACAGGTAAAAGTAGCTTCCTATTTCTTATCCAAACAGCAAATTAAAAATTTTTAATAGTCCATTTTTATTATTTTGACAGTAGAGACACCTTTAGTTCAGTCTTTCGAAATTTTGTGGCAAAAATATCACGCCACATTGTTACCAAGCCAACCAACCTCGTAAACTTTACTATTGCATGAGATATAAATTCTTTATTTACCATGCTCTTATAGAAACGTCTTAAAATAGAAACGTCTCTAATCGAAACGTCATTAGAAACGTTTTTTTAATAATTCTATGAATGGTACAAATATTTTTAAATTTATCATTTAAATAGTATATAAAAAATTACATAAGTTACATATACATGAAATAAAATAGAGGTCTAAATTCTGAAGTGAGTTGTATTCTAAGTTGTTTTTTACTAATCCAGTTTGTAAGACTGATAAGTTTGATAATACAGATTAAAAGTTAAATTTATGATTCATTCATCTTTCAGCTCAGATCGCTTATTGGATTTACGTTTTCAGTTTTAGGAATAAATTTGAGGATGGCTAAAGCTGTTAGAATTAGTGGTATAACAGATTATCCGCATAATGAATAATATCGTACTGCATTGCTTAGTGTGGCAATGCGACTAGAGAAATAAACATTCTGCAACCTAAATAGTATCCTGTTCTTCTTGTGGATTAATTGCAACTATAACAAATTTCTTAGGCACTTATAAGAGCGTCTCACCAAGACCTGCCAAACTCTGCACAGGCAGATTTCTCGCTTGTAATACCTAAAAAATGTCCAAAGAACTTTACCAGTCCGACTCACAGTTTTCGAGACAAATGCAAAAAACGTATGACGCTATATCTGGGGCAAGAGGTCCTTAATCAAAATTTGCTAAAGTTTAAAAAATATGAAACAGATAATGAAACAAATTCGAAATTAAAAATTCGGGCTTTCAGGTGCCTATGTCCGTGTGAAGGATTACATTATTCAAATTTTGTATCGTGATTTTTCACAATGCGCGTAACATACATACAGTCATGCAGATTCTTCATTATTTAATTTCTTTAAATATAATACGGGGCGATAATACTTAGAGGCAACAATCTGAAAAGTGATACGCCGTTTATAGGGATTGAACGCAAAATGCAGTTTCGACACTAATATCCCGTTCAGAGCTAATGTCCCTTTTAGGCTGATAAAAGAGAACTAGATAAACTGAATTGAGAATGAAACTCAGAAAAGCATAAATTCTCCAAGTCCGTAAAATTTCAGAAAAAATTGGTGGCCAACATACAGACAGATGCTTCAGAGTTGCCTGAAGTATTATCCTGTGTTGGCCATGATGAACGCATTAAAAAAAACGTGTTTAACATCTTTATCGACGCTAACGCAGCTGCCCAGTACATTTGAAGCAAGTTCAAATCACTTTAAATAGTTATTAAAATTGTCATGAATCAGAAATGGAGTTAATTTAAAATCTGTTGGAAACTGATCAACTTTTATTTTGTACAGATTTGTAGGAAAAATCCTTTTGGTCCATTATTTCGTGAGGCCATATATTCTCTAAAATACAGATCGCATCATTTCTTTAAAAGCATTTCCTATGAGAAACAACGTGAATTTTCGTGGCTAACTTTGCTACAGTCTCATTTTCAAAATTTCCATATGAAGTGTTCACGAACGTAAGCAAAATGAATTTGTATATCAGGATCTTACAAGGTTTTAATAATAACCTAAATTCTAATAGCAAGTTTCTATGAAAGTAATTATACCGAAGAAAGAGAATCACTATATATTAAAACGCGCATTGATCTCAAACTACTAAATTTTGAGCTAATTTTACAGCAAGGTTTAAGCATAGCTACTCAGCCTAGAAACACTTTACACTTAATCACTAATTCTGTACCTTTTGAAGTCTATTTCTTGTTTATTTTCATGAATAACAAATGCAACCTTATGTAATCCTCCGAGGTTTAATTTCTTCGAAATTACTAGTGTAAGTTTTAAAAGGCTAAGCTTTTACAAACTGTCACGATTCCCCTACCCCGCCCTCTGGAAATCGTGCTGGGGATATTACACTTATCCGACGGTATAATTACTTTCTTTATATATGCTTTAAAAGCTACGAGATTTACCTGCGTGGTCTCTGATTTATTTTTGACTTCATATATAATATATCATATCAGTACCATATATATCATATCAGTACCATGTATATCATTAAGATATCATATCAGTACCATGTATGTCATTAAACAGTATATATCATATCAGTACCATGTATGTCATTAAGCTATCATTGTGCAAAATTTATCCTAAAAAATCACTCTGGAAGAATGTTTGATAAAATTTTAAAATGTTGTATAGTATAAAACAATATTTTATTAGTTTTTCAAGTGAAGATACTTAGTAATAAAAACCACTATTCAATAAAATATTTAAAATATTAGAAGTATAATAATAAGAACCATTACTCTAAGTTCTTCAATTATTAAATGTTGCGTAATTTTACTGAGCATTTTTTCAATGGATGTAACAAATTATGCGTTATCTTAATAGAAACTCTTTCTGGCAGAAGAATTGTCTTCTAGGAGTAGAATTCAATTACACATAGACAATGAAAGAAGCGCTTAGCCACAGTATTAGTTTCAGTTTTAGTAACAACCAATATACACTTTCTGGCCAAAAGTATCCAGAAATCCAATGGAGTTCAAATGTTGTCATAGAGTTGGGAAAGCAGAATTGTCCAGAATGTCCATATACATCTCAGCGTTCGTGTTTCTAACCACAAGAACTATGGGATTCAGGCCAAACCATGGAACATACCCCCACACAATGATGCTGTTCCCAACCAAACTCTACAATCGACACAATGCGTTGCTTAAGAAGAGCTCGCCGGGCCTCCACCAAACCCAGAGGCGTCCAATGATGCTGAGCTTTGCACCAACGTAATCGACGCTTCGTATTCTGGGGAGTGATGTTTGGCTTGTGAGCGGTGGCACGATCACGGAATCCCACGTTAATTCTCGACGAAGAATCCTGCTACTACTACTAATACCTGATGACCTTTGGAACTCTGGAGAGATTCCAACCAACAAGGACTTGCGATGTTGTTTCACTACCTTTTTCAGAGTTTTACGGCTGAGTTCACTAATTGTTTTCGGCTTGCCACTTCGTTTTTTTTTTTTTTTTTTTTTTTTTTTTTTTTTTTTTTTTTTTTTTTTTTTTTTTTTCATTTTTTTTTCACCAGCTCTTTTGACTTTATCGTCTCACAAGCGCATAATTATACCTTACAAACACTAACAACACTTTTATAGCTTTCGGTTCTTCATCAAATAACGTTACCTGCCAGATCCACTTCTTTAGGTGGGTGTCCGGATATTTTTGGCCAGATAGTGCACTTTTGTAAGTCTTTTTGCCTGACGAATATTATAGCTACCCTTTTTCTTTCCATTGACCTTCTTCTCACGAAGTCTGAATTCGCTTGCCTTTCAATTAGGTAATATAGATCAGTTTTTCTTTCACCTCTTTAGTTTTGATACTGAACTGATAAAAGATATACTGTAATCTAAGGAGTCGTTTCAACCTGTGAATTAAAATTTTATACTCCATTTCTATTTCTCCTTTTCCCAGACTAATTTTAGTTACTTACACTGGAAGTATGCATATTACATAATATAATGAATATAAAAGAACCGAGGCTGCGCAGTTATAAAAGTAGAACAGTTAGAGATTATTTTCTGTCAGTTTCCTTACCTCGACCTTGTTACGCGATTCCTCTTCGCCATGCCGACAGCTACTGATTTCGTTATTAGTGTATTGCTTTTTGTAATTTTGAACTTGATTATTTACAGAAGCTAAGGAATATAACATCAACAAGACGATTTACTTTTATCCCTTAACTTGTTTTAAGAATTTATAACTTCAAAGATAAGCGTTAGAGGTTTTTACTTAATTTGTTTGTCGCGATTAATTTAAAGTTTTTCCACTTTTCCCGTTAATCTTAGACATGCTTAAATGCATTTTTATGAGATATCTATGGTTTATAACTAATAAATATCTCAGATACTTATCGGCGCAATTATTTATCTCACTTTGAGTTTAGATTATTCCTGGTGATGAAGTTTCTTCGGATAAAATGAGAGGGTAGAGGCATGTGATAGAAGTAAGAACTAGAATTGAGGAATATAATTTGCCTTATATTGAGAGAATTAATGCATTAAATGGAATGGATACTCACTGCAACATTCGTGGTGAGTACGTCAGGAATGAGTGCAATGACCAGAATGCTGATGTATATTAAAATATCCGACCAAAGGTAATTGCGATAAAGACCAAGCACGAGAAATTTTAATCCGATGATGATAGCAAAACAACCCATTTTCCGAACGAGTCTTTGTACCTTTGAGTGAAGTTCTGTGGTAGAGCTCTGCAAAACCGTCATCCTCCTGATCAACCGACCCCTCACAGTTCTATTGCCTGTTGCCACCACAACCCCAGTACCATAACCTGTAAAACGAACACAATCGTTAAAAAGATGCATAAGCAAATTTCAGGGCAATTGCCCAGACAGCATCCTTCAGTATTCAGTTACATTTTTCAGAGTTATGTGTATCCACTGCTGTAGACATATGTTACACCATTTCTTATTTTTAGTTATAGTAGTATTATCTCTACAATAAATGTTACAAGTTAAGCTATAACTATGTTATTGTAGTTTGACGAACAAAATATTCAATCCTTTGTATAGGTTATTGAATAATATTATTTGAAAATATTTTGCATTATCTCGAACGCTACGCTAGTCTTTATATTGCTTGGACAACCTTTCGCTATTTATACTTTATTATCTTCGTAACATGCATTGCAAACATAACATGCAAACAATGAAATACATTTTTATGCAGAGTGCGTCAATTTTGTTCATGAACTCAAAGGATTCAGAATACGGCAATTTTCAAGATCTTCCACATAATCTTGATTAAATAGAAGCTATTAATATAAGATTTGGAACCACAATATAGTTAGATATAGCAATGACAGTGTATGAAGAGGTTTATCTGGTTACAGTTTAACTGCATGCCGATCCAAAATCAATCTTTAAGAGTCTGTAAAATTTGGTCAACTAAAGGTTCAAACAGAAGGTCTTAATATAACGCAAAACATGTTGTTTGATAAATCACGATCACCTCATACTGTATTCAACCAATGACTCACCATGCATTGTTTTACTCCTGCATTTTGGATCTCAGTGTAATTAAATAAAATGTGATAGTAAAAGTGAGCATTCAGGGCATTTACTGATCATTCGAAAATTTTCGTATTCCAATCTACCTATTAGATGCTTAACATTGGTAACAAAACTTCATCCAGTGTATAAATGTTTATAATATTTCAACTTAAAAATAGTGGGAATGAAATAAACAGCCGGTATTACTGTAGTCGTCTGTTTTAAGTATTGTGTTCAATAATTAATAATAATTTGTATTCTAGCATCATCATGTTCTGGCAAACCTGGCAGATAATTTGGAAACTAGAATCTAAAGGCATTCTTAGCGGGGAAAAAGTGAATAATCTTCTTAGGAAAATTTAGATGTAAAAAGTTCATTTAATGATAATATGGAGTTTACAAATGGCATCTGGAACCTAACGTTTACAGAGTAAAATTATACATGAGTTAAGAAATAATTTGGAATTGCCAAACAACTCTTTTTAATATTGGGAAGCAATACATTATTTTAAAAATGCTAAAAAATAACCACAAAACAGTGTTGAAATCGGGAATAGCTCAAGAATGGGCTTTGTTAAAGGAAACCGAACTATGCCTCGCGGACTAGTTTTAAAGTAGAATAAATCAGCTACGAAATCGAGGTTTGTTTTCGACGCTTCGTCAAAGAATAAAGCTAAAAACTACGGCAAAATTTAAATCCTAATATATTTACTATTATTTTGACGTTCTGTGAATATAAAGCTGAGCTCTGTACTGACATAGAAAAGGCGTATGGTCAAATTTGAAGAAAATAGAAACGTTTTGAGACTTGACAATGCGTCTTCTGCAAATTCTCTTATAGAGAATACTCAGAATGACCAGAAACATTTTCGGGATTATTTGCGGTTCATTTATTCTTTCAGCTACATAAAATATCATGCAAAGAAGGACAAAAAAAATTTAATTGTGAAGTTGCTATGTTATACAATGCTTTATATGTAGATGATCTATTTTATGGACCTTGAAAAAGGCCCTCTACTTATCTACCAGTGCTGTCCAAATATTAAAGAAAGCTAGCATGAATCTTATGGAAGGATAGCGGAACTGTCTATCAAGATTATTGATTACCTGGAAGTCTTGGATTATGATTTGGAATACGATGGCAGAGAGTGTCAAATTAAATTTGCGACAGCCTTTGGAGGCTTCCGAAACAAATAATTTCCGAAGTGGCATAAGGACCTTGAGGACCTTGCTAACTGCTAGAGAAACAAACGAGGGAGCCGCCGAGCGTCACAAGCGCAGTGACGCCACTTCCCCGGCGCACAGTATAGCCAACCAGCAGTGGTCCACAGGACGCTCCTTTTCAGATTCCCAATACTTAACTTGCTCGCTAGATGTTTATTGAACATTTGGCAACATTAAATTGACATTATAATGTACACATTGGTTTTACATTACGTAGTACACATTGGTGTTACATTACATTGGCTTTTCATTTTGCACACTGACATTAAATTGCATTAGCATCACATACTGTAATATTGCATAGTACTTGCTATAATTTATGCAATTTGATATAATTGCCAAAAGCGTCTTATGCTTGATACAGGTTGAATCATATGCTGTTTAAATTATCGTACAAATTTTGATCTTTCAATACCTTTTCCTGAGTCCGAATTTCCTGAACATTTCTGCGAAGACGTCTGCAGCACTATGGACTGTCAGTACGGCGACCATTGTTGTGTATTGGCTTGATGCTGCTACTGAAACAGATGCGTCTGCAGTGGTACGATGAAACTGGACACATGAGTGGCACCACATTGTCTGTTCAATCGAATTTCAGGTCTGCGTACTTAAAATAATCTGAACCACCTTCATTGATCTCTGACAGTAACGTATCTGTGTGTGGCGGTAGGGAGGAGAACTAACTTTACCAGTTTGCATTTGTCCTCGTAATACCTAACGTACTAGTATCGAGTGTCATTGGCTAAATATTCGTCTTATGTACGGTTCTCAAGGTCTATGATATATGCAGTCGTTTGTGAAATTTCTGATGTATTCAGTCCAGCGGCTTTGCCCTAGCTCCGCAGCCCGCCTGACGCCATTTTCAACAAGATAATGCATGACGACCTGTTGCCTTGACTTTGCTCGATACAAAGGGTGTTCGACAGTTGTCCTGGCTAACATGTTCTCCAGATCTTTCTTTCATAGAGGATATCTGGTCATGAGTAAGCGAGAGACTGGCACATCCCCTCTCGTCATAAACAACGATTGATGAACTCTGGTACAAAGTTGGATCTCTATAGAGCGAAGCACACACATTCTGTCATCCGACTCGTTCACCAGGCGGAGTGTAGCCATTGTTGCTGCCAGAGGTAGCAGCTGTATGTACCGAAATCTGCAAACTGTGTACCTGAAACCACTAATTTTCTTCCCATTACACTATATATATATATATATATATATATATATATACATACCATAAAAACAATTTTTCTATTTGTTTTCTTTCCTGGTGTAGCAGTTTTAATTACCAATATCGTAAAACCTTTTTTTTTTTTAATCTACAAGTATAAGTCTGTGTAGAATGTTTGTGAAACTAAAGGCCACCTAAATTATACAGACATTATGTATATTTTTTACTTATTACTAAAGATTTAGCAGTATTTCCTCTAAGAGGAGTTGATAGCTTTCACATGTAGTGTCAGAACTGATTAAAAAAACAGTTCATTGACAGAAATAATGTAGAATTGTCCTCATGCACTTACCACTTATGCATCGAGTTCCACAGAAAGCTATATTCTCCGACATAAATGCGTCCTCGCTGGTGCAGTTTGGTGACTTAATTTGTGATTCACTGTTCCCAGTCAAACTTGAACTGTCAATCTCCAGATTTAAGGCGTCAATTATACGGAGATCAGTGGACAGCACATCTCCAGCTGTTATCAGAACAACGTCACCTATGACGACATCTTGTTGAGGGACTCGGATCTTTTCACCATCTCGTACGACCCTCACAAACTGCAACAAAAAATTCAGAAATGTTGCCTTCAGCAATATTCATTGTACCAATCCTCAGTATATAAGCACAGGCGGCTCGACGTACAGAATGTTTCAAAACTACTGCATGATAAAATGTCTTTAAAACTGTAAGTAGTAAACCTAAGGTTTTATTTTAAGAAATAGGTCACTCAAAGCAGATTTTAAGACCACCTTTTGTCACGGTGCAACTTTAGTCAAAATATATGAAACTTAAATTATGGGATTCGAAATTTCCAATTAACCCTAATGAAGATCTCTGAAGGAAATTCTATCTGTGATATTCAAAACTGATTCTGAAAGATTTGTCAACATTTAATGACTTAAATCTTTCTCATCCTAGGAAAATAACAACATGTTCCGGCTAATTATTAAACGAGGGACTGAAATACTCATTAATTAAGTAAACTAACTAAATTTAGTCATTTTAGTTTGCATATTTGTAGAACAACACTATATCATACGAGCAAATGTAGCGTAGCAGGAAGTAAAGTAAGCTTTGTTTTTCCTAGTTACGTAGTGAAGGCAGAGCTGTCTAATTTCAAAGAGATTTAACACTCCTTCAAATTGAAGTCACAAAATTTTAAGAAACATGAATTCTGAAAACAAAATTAATATGCTTGACTACAATTTACTTACAAACAACATGAATTAATGGAGCAAATGCATTTTTTTTAGCAAACGAAAAAGAAAAATCTACATGAAGCTGAAGAGTAGATTTATTACTGCAATCTTTGTGGTCGTCCTTTCAAATCTCCGCTTTTTTATTTTAACTGTTCTAATTTTGTTATCATAACCGTGGTAGATTTTGATAATACATCCTAAAACCCATTCATAAACTGTTATGTAGTCCTTTTTGGCAAGTACTATGTTACGAATAGAAATACGATTTTCTCTAACATTCATTTGGGTCTCTTCTATAGAATCCCTAAACAATCACTCGATTATTTTCTTAAAATAATCTGAACCACCTTCATTGTTCTCTGACAGTAAGTTGAACGAATTTCATTTACGTCTATTATCATTGGCTCCAGAACTGCTTTTATCGACCTCCCTATTAAACGTGAGCTGGGATCGAAACCCCATAATCGTCAGAATTTTAAATGGACGCAACAGCTCACGAATTTAGTATTCCCTCCACTTGCAACTTGCACATTATTATTTCAAGCTCCTTGTATATAAATCATGTGTTTACTTTCGTTCTCTTTAAAAGATGTTTTACAGATTTTACAGCGGCCTAACATAGACCTCCGAAATGAGGCGACTTGGAAGGGATGAATTTCCAGTCTATTTTTTTTGGGGGGGGAGTGAAATATGAGTCCAAAATTTTGTTAGGAAAATAAATTACATTGTAAAATTTTCTTCAACAAATAATTTGCTTTCACAAAATCAGTGATTCACAAAATTATTATCAGTGAATATTTTCGCACATTTGCCACGTCCAGCCATCAAATGCTTAAGAGTGGCAACTGAAGAATAGAAAATTATATCTGACAGAGATTCAAGGTGGATAACTCGTGTTACAAAGCATACACACCCAAATAGAAATTTTATTGGAAATAAAATGGATCACATAGATCCGAACCCGAGACATTAAATTAGGCTGTTCTTTTCTTATAATCTCTTAATACGTCATATTCTCGATAATCTGTTAAGAGAAAATCGGTTTGCAAGCAAGTCGCACTGCTTTCGCGCCATACCTCTGCCACCTAATGGCCAAAATGATAACTTTATTTATTTTTTACGCTTAAGATAGATCAGAGTAATAATAAGGATAGTTCTCCAAGTTTATTAATTGGATGAATATGCCAGTATCCAACGACAAGTTCGTTTGAAGACAGTTCTAAAACTGGAAAATTGTAATGCCTAGGAAAGAGCACGCTTTTCTTAGTTCATTAATGTTTCGTTTTCATTCTTTCTGTTTTTTTTACCTTATGTGAATACTTATTTTCATTCTTTTCATGGAAAATGGATCAAAATGACTTGCGTTTTCAGTTACCAAATTGTTTCGTTCTAAAAGAAAGCAGTGCCACTCGCATCAAAAGTGAGCTTGATAGTGTGATGTCCTACGTGCAGGGAAATTGGTTAGCGGGTCAGCATTTTTATGCGCGGGGAAACTTCCATCAATGATGCACCTCAGTTGGATCAAACAAATAGCGCTAAAAAAACCACTGACAAATTCATGACTGCTGCTATGAGTGCTTGGCCGTCTACACAATGCTACACCTTAATTTTCTCAGTTGAATCGTTATGGCTGATGCGTTATGGGCCATCTCTGATCGAAAGCATAGAAGAAATCTAGCAAAAAACAGGGAAACAGAAGAAATCTAGCAAAAAATGGGCCATCTCTGATCCAAAGCATAGAAGAAATCTAGCAAAAAACAGGGAATAGGTAAACATAAACGATAACCTGTGCAATGGATAAAAAATGAACGAAGCTTGCTCTGCTAAGAAGACTGGTCGACCGTTCCAGTCTTGAAGAAGAAACGGAACGCCAAATTTACACAGCAGGTTGGCTGTTCGGAAATGCGCCTGCACACAGAAGCAATGTTGCTTAAGGTGCCATCCTTGATAACGGATTTGAATTCTTTAATCACCCACAATATTTGACAGATCTGATATTCGTGGATTATACCCTGTTTTTGAATTTGAAGAAGCATTGTTCCTGAAGGTTTGGATGATGAAGTTGTTACTTATATTAACATGCTTCCGCATGAGAAACAACAGTCGTTTTTGCTGCTGGTATTGATTTATGTTTTTCCAGAATTTTGGAAAAGGGCGACTAATAGACAATTTTAGTAAATCCTGTTAGACCTCCAATACAGATTTGCTGTATATGGAGTTCTATGAAATTTTGATCAATCTGGTGTATGTTGAAAACCTGGTAACCTTCAAGAGTCATTAAACAATTTCATGCAATAAATTTCATACTTTCTCCACGTATTGTTATTATTTTTGTTTCTACGTGTGAATACACACAGTATATGGCTCGACATTCATAATATAAAGTAAGATAACTGTAAATTTCGATCGAAAGATCGAAATTTCCTGCCTACATGGAAAGTAGTGCACGCACAGGCTTTCGGCATTCTTTGCGCAGAATCAGACACCATGGCATTCATGGCCAGTCTGTACACTTCATTATGCGAGATTAAAGTGTCTCAGAAAATCAAGGGATCCTGCTAAGCGTGAAATAGAGTCAGGAGTACGGCTCATAACAATAAGAAATATGAAAGCTTCAGATATTCATCTCCAGACATGTGAGTGTTCGGTGACAAAGCAACGAATGACATGCGAAAATGTGTGAGACTGTTCACAATAATTGCATGATGACTTTTTTTGTTAAATCGTTTTTCGAAATATCAAATTCCTTTTTTATGAAATAAATCACCACTTTTAACCATTTGCCAATTAAAGTCTTCCACGAGTCTTGATTGTGGCTTATGACATTTATAGCTCCTTAAAAGTTTAATTAAAGTGTTTGAAGGTTTAGTTAAATTTATTGACTTCACATAAAATGTTTTATGCTTTGTTTTATTAATAATGAAACACTCGCTCGTTAACTCTTTCATTGCGTGATTAAAAATTGGTTAAATATTTTCATAACAAATTTTGAAGACGTTCCAGTGATTTGCAAATGTTTATTTTTTCATTAAAATGTGTTTATTTCAACTAACTTATACGAGTAACACATTGTAATGTTCCAATATAGAATTTACAGCTACATGTGTGAAACCTTGAGAACTGGTAAGCGAGTAATCGGTTTAGCTCAGTAGACAGACACGTAAACTTGAGAAGGGTGAATTACCCTTTATTGCTCAAAATAAAGTCCCCAGATGGCCTTTTTCTCAGGACGGACATAAAAGCCTCCACTTGGGCTTGAACTCAAGAATACTACGAAATAAAACTTAACTAAGCCTTAACTAAAAAGATATAGCCGAAGCTATCAAAATTCTACAGGAGCCCCTTAAACGTTCACTAAATGGCGAAACTATCAAGAATTACGGCCGAGTGTAGTATAGCTAAAGAGAGAGTGGATAAAAAGCGAACGCGCGTTAGTCAGAATCTCTGACTCTCTAACGAAGTCAGTGGAACTTTAAGTACTGCTCTTCCTCCATTTGCATTTAACCGCGATTCACCTGAAAAACTGAAAACACATTCTGGTAGGAAATTGTAAGCTGCTGAAATTAGAGGAGATAGGAAAATGGTGTTAATTAAAAATAACTGTTAACAACTTAGGATAAACCTTGCAACATTTATGTAATTTATTTTAAATAATGGATGAATGATCGAGGAAATTAAGACTTGAGTGGTCTTTTTTTTTTTTTTTTTTTTTTTTTTTTTTTTTTCCGATTTATTCCCATTTCTATTCATACGCCACAGAAAACATGAAAAGCAGAACATGCAATGCTATTCTCAATAGCGAAAGTAAATGATTCAAAGCTTCAAACTTTGTAAAAAGAGCAGAATCGTTGTATATAATACGTATTCACTTTTAATATTTTCAACAAAATTTTGTAAGCGTTTTAACTCTCAAGCTAAGAAATGGCGGCTAAAATACTTCAAAAAGAATTTCTAAAAAAATGCCGTATAAAAATAATACGGAAAGAGGGAAAGGGCAAAATAAACTTTAGAAAATCTTTCAATGGACATTTTAATGCTTCCTTCAATGATTTAATGAAAGTAAAGGGATTTTCTTTAATAACATTTCTTTTAATCGAAAGAGGGTGAAAGCTTAACACCTTAAGGAAAAGAGTTCTTTATCCTTTCTCAAGCTCATCGAACTCACAAGCAGCTTATGATACTGTTATCCCCAACGGTAATAGAGCCATAATATTTTGTAATTTTCATAGTGGACTGGAAAATTTTTCGAAGAATTTAATAAAATGGCTGACGAGATATAACGGCGATTTAGCTGAAAAGAAAGTTGGTTTTAATAATTTCACTAAAAAGAAATTTCCAAAATCATTGGTGCATTTTGC